AGTTTTTCTCTGTAGTTTAAAGCAGTGTTTCTAATCCTCACCATCCTTCCTGTTTTAAATGTATCTCTAATAAAAAACACCTCATTCAAATGAATGAATGCCTTTCCCCGTCTGCAGCCACCAAATGCTGAAAAGGCCTGTGGAACACCTTTTCTTCAGGTCCTGTCATGATCTGGCCTGTTTGCTCCCCTTAATTAGTAATTCCTTTCACCTGCCCTCTTCCCTCCCTGCCTCAATTATAATTTATTCCTCTCACCTGTATCCTCTGGTTTATATTCAGTTCAGCCTGAGCATTCAGGGCCAGATCATTACTTGTCTTTCTGTTAGTCTGTCTGTTTGGTTTTTTGTCATGGTTCATGTCCTGGATCCTAGCAGCCAGTGGAAAGAGGGTTTTAGTGTTTGTCTCATCTCCTGATTGTCCACTGTTTCTCCCCCGCGGAGTCCTCTGGGTTTTTGGCTCATTATGGGGGGAGGTTCAGTTTTTATCAAAGTAAGCCTGGCTCCAGGGTGGAGACCAGTTTAAAGTCCAGCTTCAAGTTCCGGTTCCTACGTCCTGTCTCGGCTACCCTCTTCCACTGTGCCTGCCTGTCTGCACCTGATCCTGTCTGCTCCTGTGCGTGACCACCTGGTCATGCTTCTGGTCCCAGTCTGACTCTGAACCCTCCTGGAAGCCTGTGGATGCCTGGAAGTCTGGATCATGTCACCTGTCTCTGTTCCTGTCTGATCTGGATCCTGCCTGTTCCTGTCTGTTCTGGATCCCTCACCAGGATCAGCTTCCAGCATAACCTCTGGGACTGCAGCACTGGGGACACTCATGGTCTGGACTGTTAAGCCAGGTAAGTGACCAACACAGTTAATCTTCTATCAGTTGATCGTGGTCACTTACCTGTGTTTCTCCCCCAGAGTGTCTGAGATTGGGCGGTAACCCGCGAGCCACAGCTCCGCTTTTGTTTTGTTTTTATTTTAATAAATCTTTTGAACTTTCCTACTGACTGTCTCTCCTGAATACTGGGTCCATCTGTCTCTGTTCATGACAGGTCCAGCATGTGGATACCCTGAGGACTGGGGTTAAGAAACCCTGGTTTAGACAACATGCTGGTCCTATTCAGGCTGAACTAGGAATAAACAACCTAGAAGCATCGCTGACAGAGGATTCTGATTTCTGGAGAACTTAGAGGGTCATTTACCACTGTTTTGGATTAACTGGTCCAGTCCACATGCAAACTGAAACTGGATGGCCTAGTGGTTAGGGCATAGAGCTTGGAATGCAGAGGCTCTGGGTTTGAGTTTGAGCCCACTGCTCCCCAAGGGGGGGGGTTAAATGCAGAGGGAATTTGGTTGCTCTGTACAGTGAAAGTGGAAAGAAAAAAAAAAGGGAAAAAAAGCTGGGAACTACAACATTTTAAAAGTTATTCAGGAATAAATAAATAAACGACGGGGCGATTGATGAAGGCGTGGTATTGCTGCAGGAATGACATCACAGAGCATGCACAGAGAAGTCGTGTGAAGTCAGCAGCACAGCAGCAAAGATGATGAATGTGAGTTACAGAAACAGATTGTTTCAGAAAGAGGCCAAAAACCCCAAAACCCTAAAATTGTTTATCCTAAAGGTTTAATAAGTCTTTGTGATAGAAAATGATCTGAAGATTTTAAAAAGGAGCATCAATGGTTTCCCAGAAAATCATTTTATATGGAGAATTACCAGAACAAGCTCAAATACAGACCTTAAACTGACCAACTGTTAGCATTCCAGAGTCTTTCCTATAAATCCATAGTTATATCATTGTTCATCTTCTCCACGAAAAATCAACTATTAGAAATGCCTTCTGGAGGAGTTTAAGTTTAATGGGGTCTTGTTCGCGAATGAGGGAAAGATGGAGCGGGAGATCGATAGGCGGATTGGTGCAGCGTCTGCTGTGAACCGGGCGCTGTACCGGTCTGTTGTGGTGAAGAGAGAGCTGAGCCAAAAAGCAAAGCTCTCTATTTACCGGTCGATCTACGTTCCTACCCTCATCTAAGGTCATGAGCTTTGGGTCATGACCGAAAGAACGAGATCCCGGATGCAAGTGGCTGACATGAGTTTTCTCCGTAGTGTGTCTGGGCTCTCCCTTAGAGATGGGGGGAGGAGCTCAGTCATCCAGGGAGGACTCAGAGTAGAGCCGCTGCTCCTCCACATCGAGAGGAACCAGTTGAGGTGGCTCGGCCATCTGGTTAGGATGCCTCCTGGATGGATGGATGGATGGATGGATGGATGGATGGATGGATGGATGGATGGATGGATGGATGGATGGATGGAGAAACGCCTTCATTCAAACATAAATTAAGCATGAATATTTTTTGTCTTGCTGAATTGTACCTTGAATGGTCTTGTGGAGTCTTGCTGCGGTTCCTGGGGTGCTTCCTGCTTCTCTGGTTGATAAAGTTGCTGATGTTGCAGTTGATGGTTGGAAAAAGGAACCTGCTGCTGATGATCGAAGTGATTCTGCACATGTTCATGCGGAACTTGATTAAGGTCGGTCTGTAGACTGTAATGTTGGTGTGGGAGTTGCTGGACATGCTGCTGTTGGACGTACTGTTGCTGCTGATGATTATACGGAAGGCTTTGTGCTTTGTTAATGTCTTCATGTGTTTCCACCAGTCCTTCCACTCGTCTACCTCGCCCCCTACCCCGCCCACGTCCTCGTCTTGTTTGTCCAATGGCTGAGCCCATTAATCCCCTGCAGAAGGGAGGCTCTGGATGAGGGCGAATGCGTGGTCTACCTCGTGGACGAGGAGGGCCTTCACGTTTTGGTTTAGTTGGCTTCCTGCCTCTTTTCTTAGGGCCATTGTGAGGTAGTACTTGTGAATGGTGCGCAAGGAGAGTGTAACTAGACGGATGGCAGAATTCCACATCACCCATCATTGGAGTTAGTCCAGTAGCACTGGTAGACCTCCTACAATTTGACACCAAGTCCGGCAGGAGGTCTGGAACTCGTCGGCTAGTGAGGCGAATATCTGCTGGGGCATCAGCTTTATCCTCATCATCTTCAAATTCATACTCTTGCGGATAATTTTTTTTTGTTTGGGCTGGTGTCTCCCGACGCTGTTTGAGTAAGTGAAAAGAGCTGGTCTTCAGAAGTTTTCTGGGTCTAGAAGAACAAAAGATGGGTGATGTCAGACCTGTAGTGCCTGAATTTCCTCCCATAGATCCCATGATTTTATTTACTGATCCATCCCGTTGGGCCTCTGAACCCAGTGCAATAGATGGAGCCTGGGACTGGATTAGGCCAAGCTGCTCGGTATTTACAGTTAAAGGAAGCTTGTGGGTCTTCAGAGAGTCAAAATCTAAATGCTGATTGTTATTACCTTTTCGGGGAAGGTTGTGGCAGTACTGTCCATAACCCTGGTCAGGGTGATGAATACCAACATCATATCCCTCTCTAGCAGTTCCCATTTTTAGGGATTCCATACCCTGCTGTGATTGCCCATGAACATCCAGCCTTGCTCCAGAATCCCCAGTGCAGCTTGACCTATATGCGGTCGGACAAAATGCGTCCTCCATCTCCGGAAAGAACGGACGATACTCATCTTGTAAGAAAGAATCTGGAGAGCAGATAGATGTTAGAGGTGGAAACCGTGTCTGTTGGTGAATTTGATTCAGTCCATTTTTATTTGCTGGGCTAATGGTGTCAAACCGGGGCAGTTTGAGCTGGTCTAACCGAGAGTGTGGCAGTCGCATTTGTGATTCTCTTTGGTGAGTCTGCGGTGGATGGTGAGGAGAAGCCATGTTTGCTGTCATCCCCTGGGTCTGTGGATGACCTAACCGTTCACCTGAAATCTGCCGGTGAGGATGTGATTGTTGTCCTTGAAGGGCGTGCGCGTGGGTTTGGGCAGCTGGAGAGTTGAGGTGGTGAACGTGAAAAGATGCGGATTGCCCTAAATCTTGTTCAGCAAGAAGATTATGAAGGTCAGAGTGCTTTGGCTGGGAATGATGCTGAGGTGTAAGTCTGTGCTGATGTCTGTACCTGTCTCCACTACTTGCCTCCCCTACTGGGACATTCACACCTAATGATTGATCAGTGTCACTGTTATTGTTCTGGGAAAGAGATTGGTCTAGCATATCCAGGGGAGACATTGGGTTTGTGTTTGCTTGAGGCTGATCTCTTGATCGAGTGGCAAAACTGTAGTGGGTATCTCTGACTTGGTTCTGCAGAGAAAGCGGCACATGGGGAGAAAGGTTTTGGGAATTGGATACAACCCCAGTAGCTTTTACTAATGTTGTCCCCATTATATTTTTCTGGCTTAAATGGTGATGTGGGTGCTGTTGCTGTTGTGGGGCTACTTGTGAAAGGTCAATCTTAGTGCTTGGTGTATAAGTAAGTACGGACTGCACTATATGAGTTGAGTGTGAGGGGTCGGATAATGAATCTGCAAAGGAAAGGGGGGGCTGGCATTGGCGAGCTAGAAGCAAATCTGGAGTATTACGTAAGTAGGCATTGTCATTTTTATTTGAATTCTTCTGTAAGTCCATGTGAGGGTTGTTTTGAGAGTGGGCATTTGCCTGGCTATGCTGAGAAGGCTGTGTAAGCTGGGTTCTTTCCTGGGAGTGTTGCGACTGCTGATGAGAAAAAAGGGACAGATTGGAGGTGTGATAGGACTGCTGGTGGTGTGAGTGTTGGGTATAGGGATCCCCTCTTTTATATTGTTCTACAGACCCCAAAGACTCGTGGTAATGTTGGTTGGTCTGGATTGTCTCAGAGTGTGACAGAGAATCTGAAATTACTTCTTCGTCTCCAAAAGGAGACTTTGATACAGTCAAATCTGACTTGGTCTGTTGTTTTTTCTGAGTTGATTCTAACTGTCTATTTAGGTCACTTGCTGTTTCACTCATTGCTGCTTCAGGGTCAGTGTGGTTGGTGATGTCATTGGTACGAATGACACTCTGAGTGTGATAGCGTTCATTTGTCAGTTTGTTGATATCAAAAGACATCCTCTTGCTGTCCCTATCCTCAGCCTGCGATATACATTGGAATAGGTGTTGGGAATGATGCTCTGAAAGATGAGCTGTCGATTTTTGTGTATGTATTAAGTGTAGAGATAGAAAATCCTCAGCTTCTTCCACTTCAGCTCCATCAGCTGCCCCTAATGCTGTGCCAGTTTTTGGTTTGGTTGTTGATGAGTGATTGGAGCCGCTTTGAGTTTGTTGTGCATCAGGGAAACTCTGTGGTGAGGACATGAATGCAGGTGACAAGATGGAAGACAGGTATTTAGTCCCCCCTGAGCTCCCTGGGGATGGTGTAGGAGCAGAGGATGTGTGTAGCACAGAGTGGCTAATGTTAGAAATGATATTAGGGGATTTACTTGACTCAGGCAGGTGGTAGGAGCTTTCATTACAAACAGCAGATATAGCACTGACTGAACCAACAGATCCTATTCCACTTCTTTGTGTAGTTGCTCCTGAGATTGGTCCAATTCTTCCTGATTCATTTTTATAATCCAAAGCAGGGCTTTTTGCTCTCCTGAAAGAAGGAGATCCATAACTGGAGTCACCAAAGACTGTTTCTGCAGAGAACGATCGTCCTTCTGAGCCCATACTATTGAAAGCCTTTCCCCCAGTAACCCCTCCCCCAGAACTTAAATCCTGGGAACGAGGTGAGCCGAATTCTTCAAAGGTCTGAGCTTTGTGTGCAGACGGAGCTTCACCGGGGGAGTAGGACTGAGCATGCGACTGGGGAGGGGTCATCATAATGGTGCTAGATTTATCCAGAGATATAGAGCTATAGCTGGGTAAGCATGGTGTGGCAGCAGGCTGATGAACGTCCGTAGATGGCAGCAGAGGCAGTGCTGGATCTAGCTGAGGAACAGGCTGTTGGCAAGAAGGAGCAGATAAGGAGTTGCTATTTGTCTTGGAACTGGACAAGGTTAACGAGGCAGATTTTGGAGAGTGTGGAGTACGGGAAGAGGACGATGAGGAGCCGGAAGTAGAGCAGGAACCATTGGGCCCCTCTGTGCCCAGAGAGGATGAAATAGATGAAATGGTTGGTGTGGCTGTGTAGGTAGTTTGGATGGTTGGTTGATAAGTTTCAGGTTCCCTCTGCAGTGGAGGTTTAGGGTCAGTGGAAGAACATTGTTCATCCACTGGACTAGAGGGCATTCCAGTATGCTGATATGGAGTGACTAACGGCTGGTACCTAGATGACCCACCATAGCGTCCATATTGCTGTAGAGATGCAGACGGAGACGGGGGTGAACGCTGGTAATGTTTGATCACACTGTCCTGACGAGAAACCGACCTATCTGAAGCAGGCTGTGTCTGGGGGGCTGCTGCATCCGGCGAGGCTACAGCAGAAGAGAACATGGATGAATTATACAACTGAGAGAACCGGTTTGGCAGTTGGGAGGACAACAGGTTGAACTGGGGAGGAGGCAAGGGGCAACTGGTGGAGTCAGAGGTGGTTTGATTCTGAGCAGCCGGGGACTCCTGGGACCCCCTAAATGTGGCAGTTTGAGAAGAAAGCAAGCGATCATAGCCCAAGCTGGACTGGGGGGGAGTTTTACTATTCAGCAGAGAATCATGGGGAGAAAGAAAACCATTGGAACTTGGACTATATGTTGAAGTATCCTGAAATGATAGAGGAGTCAAGGATCGTCCGGTGAATGAACCAGGATGCCGATACGCAGAAATGGTTGAAGGGAAGGACCCAGAACTCTGGAGTGCTCCAGAAATAAAGAGCTCTGCAGAGGCTTGAGTATGCATGGCTAGAAGAGATAACAGCAAACACAATGAGTCAGAACACAAAGACAATCTTTGAGGTGTTTTTGCAAAAGTGCACATATACTCACTGGGCTGCCAAGAGGGCGGACGAAACTGAGACAGGAGAGAGGAATCAGAGGGTGTAGACTGTGGACCTCGGGACTCAAAGGCTGAGATCAGATTCATGACAGCTGGATCAGGACCAGAGGTGGTGGCATGGTGCCAGCTGGTGTCAAACAGCCCCGAAAGACCTGGCAACCAACAATAATTCAGTTCACCTCAAGTCTGGCTGGCACTTTCATAACAAACATGCCAAGGCTTGTAGAAAGGACAATAAGTTAATTAAAAAGACAAATCTTTAATACTGTCATACAGATTTAAAGTTAGTTAAATGTGATATATTATCATTCTAGTTCTCAAATCAAAGTAAAAAAGTTTTATTGCCTACGGACAGTGGACACCAGTAGATTCAGTAAACCAGAAGCTGCAAGCTTCCTAACGGACTTTACGCTGGGACAGTGAGATTTAAAAGCCTGCAGTGGATCGCCATAAAACATCCTGAATATTCTCACCCAACCGCCTTCATGTTAAACTATAGGAACTTTTTTCTATTCCTCAATCAGGACCCTTTATATGGAAAACCGTATCATTGAAAATTAGATAAAAACATGAATAAAGAAATAAATATTGCTATCAATAAAACATTAATAAATATTCTATGAAATAAATAAATGTCACCTTGAATTTAAACTAAGTAAATATTTTAAGACATTTTGATCTAATTTTAATTTATGTACTCATTTATTTCATAATAGAATTTTATTTCTTTCAAAACTTTTATTTTGTGAAGCTATTTTACTTATTTCAGTCTTTTATTTTTTTCACCTTGTTTTTTTAACTCCATTTTCAGCTTTTTTTAATTTCATGTTCTTTTTTTTTAAATGAGGGGCGGGGCTTTGATCTGCTTGTTTTGCAGGCTGGAGACAGAACCAATCGGTCCCAATCGATGGATAAAGGCCAGAACACACTAAATACGATTATTCGTCCAGCTTCATGGGGATGGTCACACCCGACACCATGTTCAGCAGGGGGCCTTACCCAGTGTTCGTCCAGGGGGCCCCAAGACTCCTCCCTGCCTGGAGCTGGTTGCATAGCCTTGCAGAGGGTGAGGGGGGGCATAGGCTTGACGATGAAGAAGTTCTGAATCCGGATGGGGCGACCTGGAACTCCCATACACGAGGCTGGAAAACACATTGATGAAATTCGATTTTTAGAATCAACTGTCAGCTTTTAAAACGTAAAATCACAACAATCAGCAATATGCAATAACAATCTAACCTGCAACACAAATTAGTTATCTGAAACATTTTCCAAACAGCCTTTCAGTAAACAAAATAAACTACTGTGGCCTATTCCAAAAAAACCCTAGCCTGGGTGCCATTCCGAACTTAGTCCCGCCCACAACGTTTGAGGTCGGGAAGTTCGGTCTGGCATTGCTCAATAGTAGCGCGAGTATGCTAGCATAATATCTGGCGGGCCAATCAAATTGTCAGGGCGGGCTTTATACGATGATGGACAGATGATCAACAGTAACATAATCAACCACGTGACCAAAGCGCGCTTGGGTGACAACAACAATGGCTGCCGCTGGAGAGTTGAGGTGAGTAGATTCTGCTATTAGGTCTGTTCTAGAAGATATCGACAGCAAATTAATTTTAAAAGAGGAACAGAGAAACGCGATCAAGGCTCATCTTCTTATTCTAGGCGTGCAACTGCACGCTTTGATTTTTGTTGACAACTATGCGTGGCTTAACATACGTCACGCACTCCGTTGCTCTTATTGGTTGTAGGTCTATCCAATTGAGTGCAGAGGCATTTTTTTTCCTGGTTCGTTCGAAACACGCCCCATAATCACAGCTCTATGGAGCAGCATCAGACTCATATTCTGACTAGAATTGAGTAGGACTACGTCAGGCTAAAAAAAACCTGCCTCATCTATCAAACCCTGGATTCAGCAGACATCACCCTACCGCTGATTTAGATGAAATGTACTATTGATATCAAACGTTTCCCAGATACACCTAAGCTAGCTGCATACTTTGGCGAGTCCATGATCCCAGGCAGTCATTTAAGATCATCCCTGTAAAAGTTTTGAGTTCTTAGCCTCAAAGGCTCCAAACGAATACGAGATAAGAATGAGTCACACAGCCTCCTTCATGGCATGAAGAGGAGGACTGATGTTTAGAGGAGATCCATCTGGCCTGTGAAACATAGATTAACCTAACAGGGAACGGCCTTGATGAACTCAAGTTGTTTTTCTTCCAAATGTTCAAGTGTGAGAAAGTTCTTTATGCAGGGGGTGGGTTGGTTCCCCAGGTGGGAGTGTGTGTGTGTGTGTGTGTGTGTGTGGGATTTTGTAAGGTACAAATGCATGTACTAAAATGTCTCAGATCCCCATCTCTCCATCCAAGGATGTTAAATAAATGTCAACCTTATTTTTTTACAAGAAATGTCTCTGCCTCAGCTTTCTAACTCCACATCTGTTAAATGTTTTAAAGTATTGCCTAATTTAAACTGACAAACAGTGTTGAAGGTTCCTATTGTTATTAAACTGGTTTTATTTACTGGGGGGTCTCCAGGAATCTGGGTCACCCTTGGATCCATTTCCCAGGAATCTGAATATCCCACACTCTACTATTCAACCCTTTCTATGCAGGTATAAGCAGTGTGGGAATATCCACTCATTAGACTGTGTGAAACGTCTGAGAAGGGCTGAGAAGAAGAATTAAATTCTATTCAGTTTATTTCTATAGCTCCAATTCACATCATGTCATCTCAGGTCACTTTCCAGTTCACCAGATCATCCAGTCAGATTGATTCAAAGTTTTCTATCTAAGGAAAACCAGCTGATTGCATCGACTCATTGACTCTTCAGCAATCCCTCACACTAAGCATGCTTGTAGCGACAGTGGAGAGGAAAAACTCCCTTTTAACATTAAGAAACCTCCAGCAGAACCAGGCTCAGTGTGAGCGGCCATCTGCTGAGGCCCACTGGGGTTCAAGGAGACAGAAGCAGACATAGAAAAACAAGCATAGATACAAAAGGCAACTGTCAACCAGCTCCACAGGCGGCCCCGTCCAGGAAACACACAGCCAGGCAGACGAGCTCCGAGCCAGCTCCCATGTCAGAGGATGAAGAGAGCACATCCAGTTAGTCACAGTCAGAGAAACAGGACTACACTGGAAAACAGGCCAAGCTCCAACATCTAGAAACAAAGGTGTTGATGGCAGCAGCACAGCTGATATTTCTCTCCAGGATGGAGTCACAGCCAAACAGGAACAGACCAGATGAAGCTACTATGAGAAAAAGCAGAGAGAGCAGAACGTTAGAGATTGAACTAACAGATTCTGCAGAGTGGGAGAATAGAGATAGAATGAAGCAGAATGATGAAAAAGGGGTCCCTATGTCCTCCAGCAGTCTAAGCCTATAGCAGCAGAACTATAGAGATAGATCAGGATAACCTGAGCCACTCTAACTAGAAGCTTTATCAAAAAGGAAAGTTTTAAGCCTAGCCTTAAAAGTAGACAGGGTGTCTGCCTCACAGACTAAAACTGGTAGTTGGTTCCACAGGAGAGGAGCCTGAGAACTAAAAGATCTGCCTCCCATTCTACTTTTAGAAATTCTAGGAACCACTAGTAAACCTGCAGATTGAGAGTGAAGTGCTCTGGATCTAACATCCAAGTTGAAGGCTTAGATGAAGACAATAGTTTTGCTAACTCAGTTCAACTGGATCAAAGCAGTCTTCCATGACTACCTCAGATGCCGCCACCCCCCACCCCCACCCTCCAGAGACAAACCAATCGCGGATAGAGGAGTGCTAATGATCTTATTTTTAATAAAATCAATCTTATTTATAAAGAATCCCATAAAATCATTGCTGCTAAGGGCAGGTGGAATGGACGGTTCAACAGAGCTATGGCTCTGGGTGAGTTTGGCAACTGGATTAAAAAGAAATCTAGGATTATTCTTATTCTCCTCTATTAAAATGCTGCTCTTGCTTTACAAAGGCTCCTCTTATACAGCAGTAAACTATTTTTCCAGACTAGGTAGGATATTGTCTCTCCAGTTTACTAGCATTGATTTTGATTGTAATATGTCCCTGTTTTAGATTATGTCCCCTCATTGGATTTCAGAAATCTGGTCACCTTATCCCTACCTACCAGAAATAAATCTGTGAAAGCAACAAGTGCTCAGTAGAGTAGTGCAGCAGAAGGCGCTGTGTTTTAAAGTGCTTCGGCACAGTTAGAGTTACTGAGATACAGAGATATCACAGAAAAAATAACTTAATTCAGACGGAGATACAGGGTCGCTGGAAGTACTTTTGAACAGGGGGTGCTGTGAACATTTTGGGGGTTTTTTTATGGTTAAAAGACCTATGAGCCTATAGAACTATTAAAAATACAATAAAAATGAAAAATGGCCAAAAATCGCACTTTGACCCAAAATGGCTGACTTCCTGTGGGTTTTAGGGCATACCTCCAAGAGACTTTTTTTCATGATTTGAGGAGATCTACCTGTGTGCCAAATTTCAGATCTCTGGGACTTACAGTTTCCCCCAACTCACGTTAGGGGGCGCTGTGGCGTAATTTGGGGGCGGCCATTTTGGATTCCATTATAGACCGGCTATTTCACACGGGGGACAATTTACTGCCATGTTTTCCTGAGTTTTTGAATATGCGAAGTCCCCGTAAAATGCGTTCAAAGTGCTACAAGAATCGTAATAATAGTAATAATAATAATAATAATAAGAAGAAACTTTCGAAATACAATAGGCCTTTGTAGCGCTTTGCTGCTCGGGCCTAATAGATACGTAAATAGATAGAGATTCACTACTTTATTGTTATATACACGCAACCACGGTCTATAACACACAGACATCATTAGTTTTCAGGTGAATATCTGCGCTATTAATTCAACTTCATAATAACATTATAACAGCATATATTTGGTCAGCTGGCAGGAAACTGAGTCACTGTGTTTATGTCCAAAATCTTTTCAGGAAACCACAAGGACATAAATATATTTTTAAACAATTTAAACGTTATTGAACAGTTCTACACATCCATTACACAAAGAACCCAAGATCAAAATAACTCTCTAAAATACTATGATTACCTTAAGCTGTGCAAATAAATATGAAAGTGCATGGCATCACCATGGTCTTCCTCTGAGCTACAGGCAGGTTGCCATGGTTACAGGTGTCCATATGTTCAGGTGCGCTCTGAGGTGGTGGAGATAAAGTCTCACATCAGCGGACAATCCTGAATGCGTTTCTCTGCCATATTTCCTCCTGGTTTCTGTCATTAGACCCTGTAAATCTACTAGTGTGTTTCCGTGAGCAGGATTCCTCTAGCTTGCTTGACATTACCATGGCAACGTAATGGCCATGTCATTGTGTGAACTTGTGTTGATTAGGCCTCAAAATACTTAAATCAGAATACATGTATTAGTAAAATAAAAAAGTCAAAATCATTCCCCAAAATATTCATAAGGAATTTCTAAATTGTGCAAAGTATTAATACATTTTCTCCTTCTTACCACTAGAGGGTGCTGCAGCACCTCCAGCACTCAGAGTGTAACGTCTTCATTTTAAGTTCTTTAAATCAGAAATTATTCCATCCTGTTCAATAAATGATCAGTGTTTTTAATGTGAATGTGCTTTACTGGAGGCATCCATGCTTGTCAAAGAACACTACTGCCACCTACTGGTTAGTGACGTCACGGTGCGGTATCGGCTGTTGATCAAGTCCCAGTGCTGTATCTGGTGTTTGTCACAACGCGCTACTATCCAAGTCATCTTGAAAACATTGGCTACATATTACGAAAAAGAAAAAAAATGACATAATTTGGCTGTAACGACAGATCATCCAAAATCCAGCAAACTGAGCCTGATTGTTAATTCTGGAGTTTTCTTCCTGTTCAAAGGGAGTTTTCCTCTCCACTGTGGTTGCATGCATGCCTGGTGTGAAGGATTGCTGAAGAGTCAATGACAGAAATGATACAGCCTCATCCAGGAGGCGGATGTCCTGTAAGTTAAAGCCTGGAAGCAATCAGCTGGTTTTTCTTAGATAGAAACTTAGAACCAATCTAGTTGAATCGTCTCTGAGATGATGATGTGTTGAATTGGCGCAATAATAATTGACTGAACTGAAGTAAATTGGGGCCCCTGATGCCCCTGTCTAAAGCTATCTATGTTTGATAATTAACTTTGACCTTTCTAACGTGCTGCTGATGTTCATCAGGTCTGCTTTTTAAACCCAGACATGTTTTCCTGATGATTTGCTGCAGTCTGACTGACAGTCTGAGCTGTCATCACTCTACAGCCAACAGGAAGTGAGTTTCTGCTCGCTCTGAGCTAAGCTTCTCCGTTCCAGAGGTGCTGCTCAGTAGTTCTCCATGTTGTTAGGAGAACAGATTGACTGTTTGCTGGTGGAAAAGAGAGCTGCAGTGTTAGTAGGAACATCTCCATCTGCTCTCATATTCAGGGTGAGGAACCTGAGAATAAGCTCTGGATCTTCTGCTTGTTCTGTTCAGCAACAGGTCCATCCAATCTCCATCTGCCCACTTTGATCCCAACAAAGATCTAGAAGATCTAGAAGTCTGTTTTTTTCCTTCATCAGGAGCTGCTGTCAGGAGCGTCAGCGGGATCTCTGGAAGCTCCTCTCACTCAGGTTCCTTATTGTTCTCCAAGCAGACAGAACCTCTTCCTCCTCCAATCAGAGCAGCGCTGCCTGGACTCCATGGTGACAGGAGGCTGAGCTGGTTGCCATGGCGACCACTAACATGGAGCGAAGCTAACAGGCAGCTATGCTAAGTTGAAGAGGAGCTGGTTCTGACTGTCAGAGTGGACCTCAGGTGGCCTGGAGCTGCGTGGGAAAGTGTCCCTCTGCCAGCTGAGAGCATCAGGAGCTGCAGCTCCAGAGGAAAGGTTGAAATGATCGGACCTGCTTGGTGGGGGGGCAATGATGGAGCCTGGGGAGTCAGTTCTGGGTTTTTATTCCGGTTCCTGCTCCCCAGAATGCCCCCCATGCTCCTGATCTCCATGCTGGACCTGAGGCAGGTTGCATGAAGCGGCAGCAGCATCGATTAGGCTGCCCCCCCCTTACCTCGCTTTGGTGGAGCGGTCGGATCTCCATCCTGCTGCAGCTCCCAGGTCTCCAAATCCTGCTGTGGGATAATTCCTCTCCATGAAGGGAGCAGCTGGGTGAGGATGAGGAAGGACAGACAGAGAGAGAGAGAGAGGGGGGGGGGGGGTAAGGTTGGGGGGGTGAGGGCTAGGGTTGGGGGGGGAGGATGAGGACCGTCCCCCTCTCCTCAGAGCTCGATCTGCTTATTTCTCTGTTTGACGAGCCTGTGGACTGGGAGGACTGGGAGGAGGAGCCCCCTCCTCCCCTCCATGTTCTCCACTGTCTATTGTCTGCTGTGTGGAGCTGCAGAGATGCTGATGCTGTTCTCCAGAGTGTCATTCAGGCTCTACTGCTGCAAACTGAAGCTATTTCCCCCCCTCAGACGCCATTTTTTGGGATGAGTGAATGAGCCCCCCCCCCCCCCCCCCCCCCCCCCCCTCCCCGTGTGCTGGAAGACCTGAGGAATGATGACAAAGAGCCAAAGCACCTCCAGCATCTCTAACATGAGGCTGAAGGTCTGGATGAAATGAACTCAGATCTTTTGTTTGAATACATTTATTTTATAAAACATCTCACTGATATTCTGGAAAAATAATCTTCACAACAAAGAACCCCACCCCCCTCAGAGATCCTCTCATGGATATGAAGTCTGGTCACTCATGGTTCAGGGCTGGACTCTGGCCCTCCTGTATGTGAAACTAGCAACAGGAAGCTGAAGTTCACTAAGATCACCATCAGGTGCAGAGGCATCACTCCTGCCAGCCCGCCTCTCATTAGTTGTCTGCTGGTTCAGCAATCTCAGATGGCGCCCCCCTGTGGACATAGAAAGGAAGGGTTACTGTATGCACATAAATCTGGGAAGCTGCATGTAACTGCAGCAGAGTGCAGCACATTAAATGTTCAGCCATAACCTCATCACTATCGCTGCAGAGCTTCAGAGCTCAGAGTCTTAGAGCCCAGAGCCGCTTTTACCTCTCCTCATTTGGAATTGCAGAAGATCAGTTTTGAAAGTTTTGGAAAGTTCAAAACCTTGAGCTTCCTCTCAGCATAGCTAACAAACTGATCTTCCACTAAGTCCAAAGTTGAGGAGTCCATAAATCATAATTATTGAGTTCATAATTATGGAGTGTCAGTGTTTTGGTAAATTTCACAACCTTACTCTGCAATAAAGAATTAAATGATTGACTTTCAAACAGGTAGCTGCTACAGGCCGATAATTGCACTCAAAGTAAAGAGACTAACGGCCAGGCAGTCTTTCCCTGCTAAGTTCCATCAAAAGGTTTGCTTGTCAGGCTGAAGTTTAGGAAGTTCTATGTGATGCCATGGGTCCATTGTCCACCGTGGGCAGAACTCCTATGGAGTGATATTTGCGCCTTCTGTTTGAGCGCGCAGGAACCAATCCAAGCATGCAGTTAGGCGCACGCTCAAAACCGGTCCGCCGCGCACTCAACTCTGAAAAACTCTTCTCAGCCCACTGTCCTCGTGCTTGGCTCTGTCTCTTGGCTCCGTCTCTGTGTGCGCTGTACCTGCTCTTTCTGCACTTCATAGCTGTGCACTTGGCTGTTTCTCCGCTTGCTCGACTCTGTCTCTGCGCTCGCAACTTCATAAATGTCTGTAAATGAACCACACCATCAGCCAATAACCGCAGCTTCCTCCAATCAAAGTCTTCGTTCCAAATACTACATCCGGTTTGATGGCTAGCTGAAGAGCTAAGCCACCCATCCTGCAAACAGGAAGCCGGTTCGAATGAGCTGCCAGTGTGGGTCCTTAGGCAAGACCGTTCACGTCCAAGACCCTAATTGCTCAGTTCACTCACCTGCCTAACTCTGCCTGCGTTTGATAAAAGCATCTGCTAAATACATAAACAATTTCCCACTCCAGACCAGCTGATGGGAAGTAGGTAGTTCTATAATAGATCTTGAATGATCTCAAATAAATGTCAGTTAAGCAGGTATTAGGTCATTAACTGCTATTAATTTGCTTCTATAAACAGAAAAAACAAGGAGGATATTTCAGATATTTCAAGTTTGGTTAAACAAAATTTAGATAACAAATATTCTGGATATGTTAAAATTTTTACGGATGCTTCAAAATATTCAAATATTAGGAATGTTGTTTCGTTTGTAGTTGCATAATTTAATTTTAAATCAGGTAAAAGACTCAGTGATGGAGTTTTAGTCACGGAACCCTGAACCTGCTTAACTCTCTGTTGGACTCACGGAACCCTGAACCTGCCTGAACTCTCTGCAGACCCACGGAAAACTGAACCTGCCTGAACTCTCTGTGGACTGATGGAACCCTAAACCTGCTTTACTCTCTGTGGACTCACGGAACCCTGAACCTGCCTGAACTCTCTGTTGGACTCACGGAACCCTGAACCTGCCTGAACTCTCTGGGAACTCTTGGAACCCTGAACCTGCCTGAACCTTCTGCAGACCCACGGAAAACTGAACCTGCCTGAACTCTCTGTGGACTGATGGAACCCTAAACCTGCTTTAGTCTCTGTGGACTCACGGAACCCTGAACCTGCCTGAACTCTCTGTTGGACTCACGGAACCCTGAACCTGCCTGAACTCTCTGTTGGACTGATGGAACCCTGAACCTGCCTGAACTCTCTGTTGGACTCACAGAACCCTGAACCTGCCTGTACTCTCTGGGGACTCACGGAACCCTGAACATGCCTGAACTCTCTTCATACTCACGGAACCCTAAACCTGCCTGAACTCTTTGCAGATTCACGGAACCCTGAACCTGCCTGAACTCTCTGTTGGACCCACGGAACCCTGAACCTGCCTGAACTATCTGCATACTCATGGAACCCTGAACCTGCCTGAACTCACTGTTGGACTCACAGAACCCTGAACGTGCTGGATCTCTCTGCAGACTCACAGAACCCTGAACCTGCTTGAACTCTGATGGACTCACGGAACCTTGAACGTGCTGGATCTCTCTTTGGACTCATAGAAACCCTCAGCCTGCCTGAACTCTCTGTTGGACTGACGGAACCCTGAACCTGCCTGAACTCTCTGTTGGACTCACGGAACCCTGAACCTGCCTGTACTCTCTGGGGACTCACGGAACCCTGAACACGCCTGAACTCTCTGCATACTCATGGAACCCTGAAACTGCCTGAACTCACTGTTGGACTCACAGAACCCTGAACGTGCTGGATCTCTCTGCAGACTCACAGAACCCTGAACGTGCTTGAACTCTCTAATGGACTCACGGAACCTTGAACGTGCTGGATCTCTCTGTGGACTCATGGAACCCTGAACCTGCCTGTACTCTCTGTTGGACTCACGGAACCCTCAGCCTGCCTGAACTCTCTGTTGGACTGACGGAACCCTGAACCTGCCTGAACTCTGTTGGACTCACAGAACCCTGAACCTGCCTGTACTCTCTGGGGAATCACGGAACCCTGAACACGCCTGAACTCTCTGCATACTCACGGAACCCTAAACCTGCCTGAACTCTCTGCAGACTCACGGAACCCTGAACCTGCCTGAACTCTCTGTTGGACTCACGGAACCCTGAACCTGCCTGAACTATCTGCATACTCACGGAACCCTGAACCTGCCTGAACTCTCTGTTGGACTCACGGAACCTTGAATGTGCTGGATCTCTCTGCAGACTCACGGAACCCTGAACCTGCCTGAACTATCTGCATACTCACGGAACCCTGAACCTGCCTGAACTCTCTGTAGGACTCACGGAACCCTGAACATGCCTGAACTCACTGTTGGACTCATGGAACCCTGAACCTGCCTGAACTCACTGTTGGACTCACGGAACCCTGAACCTGCCTGAACTCTCTGTTGGACTCACGGAACCCTGAACATGCCTGAACTCACTGTTGGACTCATGGAACCCTGAACCTGCCTGAACTCACTGTTGGACTCACGGAACCCTGAACATGCCTGAACTCACTGTTGGACTCATGGAACCCTGAACGTGCTGGATCTCTCTGCAAACTCACAGAACCCTGAACCTGCTTGAACTCTCTGATGGACTCATGGAACCTTGAACGTGCTGGATCTCTCTGCAGACTCACAGAACCCTGAACCTGCCTGAACTCACTGTTTGACTCACGGAACCCTGAACCTGCCTGAACTCACTGTTGGACTCACGGAACCTTGAACGTGCTGGATCTCTCTGCAGACTCACAGAACCCTGAACCTGCCTGAACTCTCTGTTGGACTCACGGAACCCTGAACCTGCCTGAACTCACTGTTGGACTCACAGAACCCTGAACATGCTGGATCTCTCTGCAGACTCACAGAACCCTGAACCTGCCTGAACTCTCTGTTGGACTCACGGAACCCTGAACCTGCCTGAACTCACTCTTGGACTCACGGAACCCTGAACGTGCTGGATCTCTCTGCAGACTCACAGAACCATGAACCTGCCTGAACTCTCTGCATACTCACGGAACCCTGAACCTGCCTAAACTCTCTGTTGGACTCATGGAACCCTGGATCTGATTCTTTTCCTGTTCTGATCAAAACCCCTCACCGGGCTACAGATTCTGGATCTCACAACCTTCCTGTTCCGAACTGTTTCCCTGACCTGGCATGGATTCCTGCCTGTTCACTCGGGCTGCAACATCTGGTTCACTCTGGGCAGCTCCCGCTACATCTCCTTTGGCAGTCCATCGGCTGGATCCTGCCTCGCTCTGAGAGGAGGAACTGAACTGTTGAACCAGGTAAATGACTCTAATGGATAATCATCTTCCATCAGATTATCATCGTCACTTGTGTTTCTCCCTAACCAGAGCTGCCAGTGATGGGAGATGCCCCGCCTCCCCCAGCAGCCGCTGCAGATCCACAGCTCTGCGTTTCATATTTTTTAATAAACATTTTATATTTTCCAACTGCCTGTCTCACCTTGAATATTGGGTCCTACAGTCTGAGTTCATTAGAAGGACCGTAGTTTGAGAAGAGTTTTTCCAGAGTTGACAGCATTGTCTCACTGTGCGCTTGAATTGGTTCCTGCACGCTCAAACAGAAGGTGCAACATCGCTCCTTAAGTTCCCTTTATAGTTGCGAAGCCTAATCTGCCTCCTTAAACTGCAGGTTCCTACTTTCCTTTGACCCAGGGCTGGGCTCAACTAAGGCC